AGGAGCCTGAGGTTCGGTACAACCCTGTGCCCAAGAAGGATCAAGGATATCCAGCAGAGCCTGATGAACCTGCTTCTTCATCCTCACAGCCGCCGCCTTTGCGCAGAATGCCCCAACCAACGGACACCGCAGTCTTGGAAGAAGCCGGCAAAGATGAGAAATCCAAGGCTCAGAAACGCAAGTCCAAGAAGAAGGGCAATAAGGGCAAAGGCAAGAAACATCGTTGAGCACTACATGTGTTGTGAGGCTTGCGGTTTTTGAATGTGTTTCTCTTAGGCTTTGGCAGTGAGATTCACTGAGTTTGATTGACTGAGTGCAGGCTTTGCAAAAGAACTCAACAAACAAATGAGCTGTGATCATTTGAAAACCATGACACTGAACGAGACTTTGAACACATGTTTCACCAAAAACCATGAGAGATCATGAGAGACAGAAGGAAGGCCAAAGAGTCAGGGGTCGAAGTTTGGTCGAAACTTCGTCGAAGTTTCGACTCGAAGTTTGGTCGAAGTTTGAAGTGCTATCGAAGTTTACTTTTGTACAATGTTAACAAAACACTGTAAATACCATATGTTTTGAAGGTTGTATCTTAAACTTCGACTAAACTGCGACCAAACTTCGACTAAACTTCGAGTCGAAACTTCGACGAAGTTTCGACCAAACTTCGACCTGTCATCATTGTAGTAACATAAAAACTAATGAAACCATACTACAAACCTTCAGGAATTCAAAGAGTTTGTGTTGGAATTCTTCAAAAAATGCTTGCTGAATTTATGAGCGGACACTTCATTCTTCAACATTTGACCTGTTGACCTCTGTGGATTTCTTTCCATCAGCGCTCAAGTCGATCATTTTTGTGCGAAGAATCTTGCTTAGATAGTACGCGTGATCGCTTATCATCATGCCTCCCGTGAAACGCCCAGCTAGCGCAGAAGAAGGTCCCAGAAAGAGGCCTGCAAGTTCCATCAACCAGACGGTCAGAGAGATCAAAGAGCAGTCTGCGGCCATGAGCGAAACCCGAGACAAGGGGAAAGGTGAAAAGTTCGCGAAGATGTTGAAGGCAGGTACCCTCCCCCCAGAGGTGGTGCACATGTGGAACATCGAATCGAAAAAGGCACCTTCGGAACGAGCCTTCAAGACTGAGCTCATCAACTCGCTATTCTCAAAGCAGAAGGACGGCTCGTATCGCGTCGACACGGACTCCCACCAATTCGCACAATACCGCAAGGTGCACCATGCCCACATCGCCAAGACCAAGGACGAAGCATTGCCGAAGAACCTCATGATCGGTACTCACTTCAGTGGAGATGAGCGCCTGTTCAACAGAGCTTTGGAGGACAATGAGCTTACCTCTTTCCATGATGAGGCGTCCGGCATTGAGTACTACAGCTTCCGTAAGCTTCAGGCTGTGGATTTGCATGCGTCCGAGCAGGGCGAGCATGTGCATGGCTACAAGAAGCTTGGGAAGGATCAAGCTTACACCTTGGGTGCCCTCATGACGAAGATGAAGTGGGACTTCAAAATGACCAAGGCACAGAAAACATGTTTATAAGAATAGGATAACGGCGCTTAGTTCATAACACTTTGTTTTCATGAGCTCCATTAGTGTGGGGAGTGCCTAGTCCTTGAGAAGAGGAATGGAGAGTTTTCTTGTGAGTCTTGTGAACTGAAACCTTGTCTACGGAAACCTATCAATATAAACCGTTATAAAAATAATACTAAACTTTTTTGGAGGCTTTAGCCACATATCCTTCAGCCCATTGCTTTTTAAAGACAATATATAGGATTGGTGTTCAATTCATGAGGCTGAACAGAAGAGTTTGGACAAGGACGGCGAGATTCCCAAAGGTTTTGAAGCATTGGCATCTAAAGCGAAAGATGCCGTGGAAAGACTCTTGAAGGAGGGAAAGAAAATCGCCAACCAGATTGAAGACAAGGCCTTGATCAAGAACGGGTTTACCACGCTGACAGGCCATCTCAACGACCTGAACCATTGGTCTATGTTCCAGGAACTGCCCAACAAATCAGCGCCATCCAAGGCAACTTTGGAGTCCTTCGTGGGGAAGATTGCAGTCGATGTGGATCGTTTCAATGGGGAAATTGAAGCTGCCAAAGGTCGGCTTAAAGCCCGTAAGAACTGAAGCGTTACACTTAGCTCGGCTGCTTAGTGATCATGCCCACGCCTCCAGCTCTTGGGGAAATGTTGATGGGGGGTTATTCTATTTTGGTTTAGCCCATATACCAAAAAGAACATTAAACACCCTATGGTTCGAAGCTGTTCTCCATATCTTTGCAGGTTCTGAGTTCAAGCTGTTCTCCATGTGTCCTTTACAAGTTATTGAGTTATTGTTTGAAGCGGTTTTCCAAGTCCAAGTCGGGCTTTTTCCAAGAACATCATCTCCAAGGAAAGGCAAGTGGCTGAAGGATCCCTGATGGATCGAAAGCTGGCAACGTATGAGAGTTGAAAAAATAAGCTTTAGATCATGATGCTTGAACTTGTATACCGGAAAAACGATCCCTGCTGAACAAAGTATCTTTCAAGCAGTGCTGACACGCAGATGCCAGAATATGTGTCCCATATATGTGTCCCTGGGATATCTCTGTTTCTCTCAAGGTGTTGTGCGCTCAGGTCATCTCATGGCTCAGATTTGTGCCTCATGGCTCAAACTCCCTGCCAAATATATTGACTGAAGCTGAGGAGTTTGCAGCGTCTCACCAAAAACCTCAAGCCCTGAGTGATCCTTGAGTGAAAAAGAGCATCCATTTATGGTTGGCCAAAACCTGCCCTTGCCTGAGCTTGAATTTTCTGAAAACACAAGTGAAAACCTCGAACTTACAAGCGCGTTGTGACAGAGGGAACACTGTGGGGAACCTAGCTTTTCAGAGTTTGCAAACATATAGAGACAGTTTCGATTCATGCTTAATCATTTTCAGAACTTACAACGTTTGGACAAAAAGACTAGAGATCGTTTTTGCCACAGGCACGAGTTCCAACAAAACGACATCAACCAACAGTTGGCTTTCTCTCAAAGTTGTATTTCAATCACTTCTCTCAATGTTGCTCTCTCAAGGTGAGATCCCTCCTCTCGCTCCTCTCAAGGTGAAGTTATTCCTCTCAAGGTGGCCAACCAGTGGGAGGTTCCTAAGGTGAAGCCCTACACGAGATGTATTCGAGCCTTTTGCTAAGAAAACATGTTCAAACAGTGTCGAGATGCATATGTCAGAATATGTTTCACTCAAATTCCTCTCTGTCTCTCACGGTTCTGACACTCATGGTTCATGGTTCAGGTCTGACACTCATGCTTTCCCAGATCTTCTCATGGCTCAAATGTGGCTAGGCCGTGCACTGCAAACTCAATGTATTACGAGGCCAAGAGGGGTGACAAGCTGAAGACCTAGAGCGAAAAAAGAGTGAGATCTCAAAATGGTTTAAATGACAAATGAACGCCGCCGAAGCCACTTTGCACTCCAAGAGAAAGTCTCCTCACACTCGAACCTCTTCAACAGTTGAGCCGCTTAAGGCACAATGTGTGCATGAAGACAGGCACTGACAAAACACATAGAGTCTGACAGGAGACCTTTTTACCACTGCCACATGTAAAAGACATTGTTTACACTGTTACACCTTTTGCGCCGGTATGTATTGAACATGGAGCCGCCCAGAAAGAAACAAAAAAGAGGTGGTATAAAACAGAGGATTGCCAGGGCCAAAGAAGCCGAGCGGTCCGAGCACAACTTTGAGGGCAGCAGCGCTTTGGCAGCCTTACTTCTTAGTTTGTTTGCGTGGGGGTTCTTCAGCCCCCAGCGGGTGCAAGAGATCGCTGCTCGCGCTGTCCAAGACATCGAAAATGCTGCCAACAACCCAAGTGTGATTGAGGAGTTGAAGATTCTCCAGAGCCTTGGGACAAAGGGGAAATACAGCAACAAAATGCACGGCCAACTGATGGAAAAAATTGAATGGGTTTCTCGGCTGCCTAAAGGCTATAAGTTTCAAATCCCACTCCGAGGGTTTCGACAAACTTGCAGCCAAATGATGCTACTCCCACACGAGCTCTTCTCTGTCATCTATCACAGCTACAAAGCAGTTTGGAGCAAAACTGTGGCCCCATCCGTGGACACTGTGAAGAAGTTTTGGCACGCAGTCAGACTCCACCCGCAGATGCAAGATCACCCCATGAAAGCCAAACCAAGCTGGAATGAGCGCACAGTTCCAATCGCCGTTCACGGGGACGGTGTCCCGATTGTAGGTGTGGGAAAGGCATGGAGCCGGATGATGACTCATTATTCCTGGTATTCCCTTATCGGTCAGGGGAAAACAAGCTCCATGCTCATGTGGATTTGGGCTTTTTACGACCGCCTTAAAGTTGGGGATGTGACACATGGAACTTTGCATGAGTTCTACAAGATTCTCCACTGGTCATTTTTATGTCTTGCTGAAGGCAAGTGGCCGAGCCATGACCCCTATGGTAAAGCGCAGCTCGACTTTCACAAACCCAGCTGATTCTTTTTGTCTTTTGTATGAATGCCATGTTGAAATGAAAACGCACTGTGTCCATGTTGAATATGGCCGTTCTATCTGTGTCACAAAACCCTTATATATAGAGAGTTTTGTCACATTGAAACACTCAGACAGGTACCAACCGGGAACTCCTGAACACAAAAGAGCCAACACATGGCTAGCTGATGGTTGGTGTGGAGTTCTCTTCGCCCTCACAGGTGACTTGGACTATCTACATGGTATGCTAGGGTGCCCGAACGCATCTCTGGTGAGTGGTCCTTGTGTATGGTGTCAATGCGCAGGTACAGGTGAGAACACATGGTGTGACTTCAGGCAGGGCGGGCCTTGGAGGATGACCAGGTGGTCGCCGCAAGAGTGGCGATTGTGGGAGAATAGGAATCGGTTGTCGCTGCTCACTTTGCCAGGGGCATCGTGTTGGACAATACACTATGACTGGCTCCACTGTAAGTACTTAGGTATGGACCAGTACATTTTCGGTTCCGTCATGGCGGTCCTGGTGAACTATGTGATGCCACAGTCAGCGGAACAGAACCTGCAAACTGCATGGGCCTATCTCAGGCAGTTCTTCAAAGACAACCAAACCCCACTCCTTTCAGGTATATGAACAGGCTGTCAATGTTCCTGCGTGCTGCCGGAAAGTTTCCGAAATTGAGAGGCAAGGGTTCTGAGATTCGACACTTCGGGAAGGCTTTGCTGTCGCTCTGGTCAAAGGAGATGAATGTGCATCTTTCTTTGCACAAAAAAAATTTGCTCATGTTGCAGCTGAACGTGGAACTTGAGGACACAATTACCGAGTTCAAGGAGGAGTTCAGTTTCCCCCCAGGCATCGCACAAAGATTTGAAGAGGCTTGCTCTCAGATGCTCTTGCTCCTGACCCAAATTGCAGAGCATTACTTACAGGAAGACATCAAATACTTTGACATTACGAGCAAGTGTCATATGGTACAAGAATTGGCCATTATGTCAAAATGCATTTCGCCTAGAGTTGTGTGGGTGTTCGCCGGAGAAGACCAAATGCAAAAGATGCAGTCCATAGCCCAAACCTGTACTCGGGGCAACAAAGTTCCCCAACAGTCTGTCAAGCTTTGCCGCCATTACCGTTTGGCTTTGCATTTCCTTTTTGAAGAGCAGTGTGTTGGGCTGTAACAACCTTTTGAGCATAGTTGATCCACAAAGGTGCGCCACCGGTATAGACGAAAAGGGGCTGCTGCGACGCAGACAGAGGATGACATCAACAAAAGCAGCAAGAAGGATTCGGGTATTGATATAATTAACCAATATTTAGTGCAAACTGACCTTGTCGACACATGTTCTGTGTATTCCCCTGCTCTTTTTCTGTCACCGCATATTCCTCATACTTTTGCAACACATGTCCTGGTATGGCTATTTTCAGAACCAAACCATGAGAGGCGTTTCGAGAGACCATGAGAGGCACGTCGTTTCCACCATGTTCTAGCTTTTCAATAAATCAGATGTGTGTTCTAGAAGAGAACATTAGCATATGTCAAGCTTTTTGCAACAACAGTGGGGGGTCGAAGTTTGGTCGAAGTTTGGTCGAAGTTTCAGTTTTGACTATTTTTAACGAATATATATATATATATTTCTTAAAAAATATATATTTCAATCTAACTATTTTCTAGGACTTCTCGTCAAATCTGTAGAAAATAGTTAGTCACCAAAAACAAGATATATATCTTATTTCATCAGACTATTTTCAAGGATTTTTTTGAAAATATATATATATTTTTGAAAAAAAATTGACTATAATAGTTACTATTTTATATATATATATTCTTTAAAAATAGTCAAATTCCTAGGATCGAGCCTAAAGCAAGGAAATAGGATAGATCAGTCTATTGGGAACGAAGGCAAGATCATCGAAGTGCTTCCGGCAAAAATGGTCTTCACGAGAAAGGCAGGAGCTGGCGTGAGAAGGGCAAGAGCTGTTTGCTGCGGAAACTACTCAGAAACCCGCTTCAGCGAAGATTGCTACGCTGGAGGGGCTGATGGATGTCAAGTCCGCGCTCTACTCCGCACTGCAGCTTTGAAGTCTTGGTCGGTGGCCGCCACTGACATTCGTGTGGCTTTCCTCAATGCTCCAAGAAGGGAAGATGGAAAACTGGTCGCCATGGAAATTCCGCAGGTGTACAAATGCCTTGGTCTTGCCCGTGAAGGTGAAGTTTGGCTGGTCAAATTGGCGATGTACGGTTTGACCACGTCGCCACGGGATTGGTCTCAATATCGGGACAAGACTCTGCCATCGGTGAGCTGGGTTCGAATGAGGGAGGACAGAAAGGTCCGTGGCCACTTTCTCAAGACCGCCGATGAGAACCTATGGCGCTTGGAGGAGGAGGATGTGGTGTCCGGTGAGAGCTACTGGACTGGTCTCATGTCAGTCTACGTAGACGACATCCTGCTTACCGGTGAGGAACATGCTGTATCATCGGCCTTGACCTCATTGCAGGCGATATGGACCACATCAAGTGTGGAGTGGGCATCATCACAAAGCCCGGTCCATTTTTATGGCTTTGAGATCAAGTTGGATGAAAAAGGAGATGGCCTTCATCTGTCTCAGCAAAAGTATGAGCAGGAGATCCTGACTCGATGGAAGGTGAAGGAGAGTTCAACCTTCCCCAACTTCAAGATTGCGGAGGAGGACTTCGAGGCTCAAGAAGAGACGGACATCAGACAGGTCCGTGAAGCACAGGCCCTAGCAGGATCTCTCCTATGGCTTTCGACAAGGTCAAGACCGGACCTGGCGCTGGGAGTGGCGGTAGTCAGCCGCATGATGACCAGGAATCCCAAGAAGGCGATTGAAGTGGCCCACAAGTTGCTGGCCTATGTGAAGGGCACCCCTGGCGATCTTCACTACGCCGGACAGGTGCATCAGGTTTGGGGGGCTCGTGGCCAACTCAAGATTCCCCGACATGGGAAACTCGTGCTGACATTGCCTACGGCACTGGGTCAGGGCACCGAAGTACTCAGGGCTTGGCTATCTACTTCGCTGGAGCACCCATTGCCTGGCAGAGCTCTTCGCAGCCCTTCGTGACTCACAGTACAGCTGAAGCTGAATTAGTGTCATACTGTGAGGCCCTGACAGCTGGTCGTGCAACTGAAGCGCTGCTATGTACTATGTGGGGGGAGGAGCTGGTGAACAACAGCACCTTTGACCGGGTCATCTACGGTGACAATGCCGCTGCAATTGCTCTGGCCCATGGTAACAGTGCAGCTTCCTGGAGGACGAGGCATTTGAGGGTGAGGTCTAATTTGCTCCGGGAGGCCCTCGAGAATTGCAGCTCGTACCCTGGAGGAGCGTGGAAGTTGATGCACCTTCGTGGCACTGAGCTGGTGGCTGATGGACTCACAAAGCCGCTCCTGGGTCAAAGTTTTCGGAATTTTCTGTGTGATTTGGGCCTGAGGGTGGAGGAAACTAGTGTGAGGGTGCTTGGGGCGGAACGTCGACCTCCTCAACTACAAGATCAAAATGGGGCTGATCGGCGACATCCTCAAGTACCAGATCAAATGGGGGCACTTCGAGCCTTAGCAGCGGGTAGCGTGCTCGCGCATGTCGCGGAGGCGCAAGGGGATGTGGAGAAGGACTCAACCATCGGGGCCTTGTGGATCTGTGGTTTGATTTTGATCGCCATAGGGGCAATCTGGGTTTGCAAAGCTGTATGTGCTTCGGCATGCTGCTGCTTGCGGCGATTGCAGAAGGTGATCATCGAGCCGGCTGGTTCGCAGAGCCATAGCGAAGGGGATGAGACGGATGCCACTCCGACCCGGCCACAGAGAAGGAGATCGAAGAACCAAAGTTCAGCGGTCATGGATGAAAGCTCTCCTTCGACCGAAGGTTTGGACGAGTCAGGAACACCTCCTGAAGCTGAGTTGCGCTTGAGAAAAAGGGGATCAAGGGCGCGAAGCGCGGAAGGCTCTATTTCCAGGCCGAGCTCTACGCCATTGACATCAAGGCGACAGTCGGGCTCGGCAAGCAGGTCTTTGTCGCGATCCAAGGAGTCGCAAGCCAGCGCGACAGTGACCGATGCAGTGAACTGTGCGGCTGGTGGAGCGGAAAGGGCGGCGATGAGCGCTGAGATGGCCGCGGCAGCAGCTGGGCGTGCAGCCGTGAGCGCTGAGCGAGCTTCGATGCTCTTGCACCAGGCCTTGACAGGCCCTGTGACAAAACAGTCACCTTCGAGGCACAGTGGAGTGCCCATGAATCCATGGAATCGGTTTCAGCAGGAAAACGCTGGCCGAGGATGGACAAAGGACAAAATGCGTGCAGAGTATTTTCGGGCAAAGTGCCACAATACCCTGCCTTGAGCCACGGCATTTTGCCAAGAAGCTCTCCACGCAGTTTCGCTTCCGCGAAAGGGGGAGTCTGACGGTGAGACCACCGCGCACAGGCATTTTTTGTCCAAGAAGAAAAGGTGTGAGGTTTTTGTCGAGACTATAACTTATTCTATAAGTTATTACGTGAGCTGTTCGAAGCTTGGAGATGTCTTCTGTCTTCTCTACATCTGGCCAAAACTTGACTACCTTTGACTACTGTGGTAAAGCAAATGCTGCCAACATCGTGCCAAAGGTTTACACACCCGTCTCCCATGAAGTGCATCCCAAGCCTGCTGGAGTTTGTTCATGGACCGCGATTGTGTAGCAAGCGGCTACTTGCAAAGGGTTCTAGTAAGTGTGAACGATGCAAACGCAATGTATCGCAATATATCGACAAAAATACATATCTGATATCAAAACAGTTCATTTGCCGCCTTCTGGTTGGCGGTACGCATCACGGCCACTTCTTCACGTTCCGCCAGCTGTGCATAGCAGGGATGGCCTCAAATGATGAACAATGATGAAAGCGGTGTACTCTGACAATGTTTTACAGCTTCAAGCTATTACATGGGACACTAAATTTGCTTGTGGCCGTGTCTGGTTTCCCTACTAATGGTGTCAGACAAGGTAAAGGTGAACATCCAGTGCTCGGGGCACGGTGTCACAGTTCAGGGTCCCAGACGAATCATTTATATAGATGGCCTGAAGCTTCTCCGTATGTCTAAGCGTTCATTGGCAAGATGTATTTTGTAGTCCTGGATGAAGATCGACAGAATATAGTGCGAAGTCGCAGGCAGCCATTATTCGTAATGTGGTCCAACTGCTGATGCTCGTGTTTTGTGTTGTGCTTCTGCCTCAGCAACTTGGGTGTTCCTGCTGCTTTCAATTCTTCCAGCCAGTTGTACATCTCCAAAGTTCTATGTGTTTCATAAGAATGGCATGGATGCATCACGCAAATTTTACGCAAGCAGAACTTCCGTGAACTTCCCATCACTCCTGAGCGCCCCGGCAAATGATCTTGTTTCCCCGAGAAGTGCTCCAAATTACCTTTGGGTGCATGGTTGGCACGGGGCATGTTTCAAATGTTTTCACCAAGGAGTGCAAGACCGAGTGAGGCATCAGTGCCAAAATCCCAGGCATGCATGAACTCTCATGCTGCTTGATTACATCCTTCGAAGGGGCGCAAAAAGTGAAGTGGGTTGGCTGCAGAAAAGGTGCTGGTGAACAATACAAAATGCTGTGGATCATCAATCATTGTTCTGTTTTGGTCTGGGTCTCCTTTGTCAAGTGTTTTCAGGCCGGGATGTTTGTCAGTTGTTGGGGTGTGCAAACGCGAGTTACTATTCCTTGGCAGAAAGAAACAACACTGCCATCCATAATGCACATGTTCATTCCCTTGTGCATATGCATATATATATATACAGTACATATATGGTTATTATACAGCGGCTCGATGTCGAGTGGACGTTCTTTTTTGGGTGGGATTTTGGATTCCCCGATTGCAGCTCATTCGTCAGGCACACTTGGCCAAAACAGGGACTCCAACAGACCCAAGTCCAACTGACCCACTACCGCACCTTGAAGTTGGATTGTTTGACCTTGTCGCATCTGAAACACATGTATCCAAGCAGGTAGTCCTGGCCGAACATTAGGAGCAAAAAAGCATCAACATGGACATGGGGTGGGTCTTAATGGGGAGGAAAGCCAAAGACTTCCTACATACAATGAAACATGTTGAGATACGTATGCAGGTCTCTATCATGACCTTGTCTGAATCTGTGTTGACCGAGCCAACTGAACCAGCTCCAATACACCAGATACCAATGTAGGATTATTTCCAAGGATGATTCGCAGTGACGCGGTTGCTATGTCATGAACCAATCCTTCCAACTCCAGTTGTGCAGCAAAGTGCAAACGCTGTGGTAAAATACCAGGTGCTGGCCTGCCTACCCTCCACACAGCAAAAACACACTGGGTACTGGTGTCACTGAGTCCACAGCCTCTAGGAAGGACGAATTGTCTACCCTCTGAAACTACCACGACAAAGAAGCAAACACTCTGCACCAAGTCTTCCGCAAGACATGCCCAGCGCGGCATACTTCTTGGGCCTCACGGTGCACAGGTGACCGGGTGAACAGAGACATTTTTCGGCTGTGGAGTGTTTAGCAGCGCAATGAGCTTGAGCAAGTTACAGTAAAGCACGAAACACCGCGTGGTGAAGGAAAACCCAAATGGACAGTCCGATTACCCTAGTGCTGTGAAATACTCTACTGTGTTGTGGGGAAGAACAAAAGCACTTGGTAGCTACAGTTGCAATTCCAAGCGCACCAACTTATGCTTTGTTGCTGTTCCAAGCCTGTTGTTCACCCTGGCTACAAGGAGAACAAATGCAGTGCACACTCACCATGGTTCACCAATTTCAGAAATTCCAATAGAGGGCGGTTGACAAACCCCAGTGAGATGTGTCTAAGCTGGATCAATCTTTCGCTATTGCCCTTCACTGCACTTTCGTGGCCTTTGCCCTTCGCGGTGACTGGACATATCATATATTACCTCTAAGTAGCATTCATTGCTGCCATTTCTCTGTGCTTTCGCTGTTGGTTGTTTAATAATTGCAAACCATCTCACATTCAACCCTTTAAGGCCGTGCTACGTGCGCAGTTTTGGCTGCTGCTGGTGAATAAGATTGTGATGCAAGTAAGGGTTTGCCTGTCCATTAGAGCTCAAACTCAGCGACAAGTTCTGGACTTGTGGGAAGTCAGCGAAGCGTGGAAATCAAATATGCTAATTGTTATTTAAATATTATGTATAGTATGCCAATAGCTGCAGGACATTTCCGCATGTGTGACATGGTGTAGGTATATTGTCTGCGTTTGCCTCGCCTCATCTTTGCCTTGAGGCCCTCATCATCGAACTCGTAGTGTGGCACTGGGTCAAACTGTTTCAGCAATTTCACCGCGCGATTTCTCTCCTGAAACCGTCGGTGATGATGAGCCACAAATGCTGCAGCTGCAGCTGGTGATTTTCTATGAAGATATATACTACTTCTTTCTTGATGGAATTATGATGGAATTCATGATACGGTACGTAAATGTACGTAATGTAATGATAATGGTGAGTGGTGGATCCAATTCTTCTTAGTCGGTGGTCTACAGACAGAGTGGCACCCCTCGGTGCAAAGATTCTTAAAGATGTGCACAAATGGTTTTGTCAAGGGCTTGTGGGGTGAGTCAGGGGTCAATCCTTTTCAGAGGCTGGCGTGAACAGTTTGTTGTTGCGGGAAGTGTAGCCTCAACTTGTCTTTAAAACGATTGCCCCGCACTTGCCGGTCTGAGAATGGGCCTATGAGTCCCACACTCCCACACGTGTCCTTGCTGGTCTTGGCACTTGCCAAGACATCCACCAACTCTGATTTCGTCAATGAGGTGGTCTTCACCTTGGTGAAAGAACTTCGCAAACCCATGCTCTAACGGGAGGGATTTGCAGGAGATTCTTGGGTCCGGGACTGGAGGTCTGTAGGTCTTCAAGGGACGCATGAACATGGCGATACTCTTCTCTCATATCATATCATAATAGTTATACACCGGGGAAACGGGAAAAAATGTTGCTACGGGCGCATAGATGGGCCCATATACCTACGGGGTGCAACACACCTGCATACCCCCGATACCAAATCCTGGCGGAATAAAAAGAGCTACCTCAACAACATTCACCTTCAGAACTACAAACCCCTCTCTCTGTCTCTCTCTTCTTGACCATCAGACTCACTAGAAACAAAGAGCAGTAACCTGCACTTGGATTTTCCTTAGATCAGGATGTGAGTGCATAGAGGGCCAGGCTAGAAGCTTGCATGGAACAGGATGGCATGTCACCTATGACCCTAGAATCCTTTTGAAATGTCTTTTCCTCCAATTATTGACGGGTCAAATATACCGAGCTAGACTTGGAATTCTGATCGATGTTTCTGGGGACAAAATGTTTGTATAACGTGCCATACTTGTACAACTTGCGGCATGTTTGTATCATGATTGTTGGATACTTCCAACTTGGCTGAGTAGATGAGTCTTCCCACAAACCGTGTCATTCAGATCCCTGATGTTCCATGTTTGTTGGAGATGAAAGGAGGGTAATAGATCTGCTTCCATCTGCTTCTTACGGCAACCGTCTTCAAAATCTCGGGCTCAGGCCATGATGGCTTCTGCACACGCGCCGTGTCCGGCGCTCGAGCTGACTCGAGCCAGCGCTCGGATCTTGCAATGGAGTCAGGTGGATGGATCTGCAAAGGTGCTTGGGATGTGCTTCATCCCAAAGGTTTGAAGATCCACATGGAATCAAACCGCCTGTATTGTGTGAAACTCATTGGTTTTTGAAACAAAGGGCTAAGTGCTAAGGAAAGCGACCTCCTGGACAAGTGGTCAACAGGATACTGCGACTGCTCTTTGCCTCAACACCGTCCCTCTAAGGACTCAGTTTACCCATATCCACTCAGGACCGGCCCCTCACCCCGCCAGGCCCTCCACAGCACTTCTTTCTGTTTGGCAGATTTGAATCTCAAGAAGCCTGGTGCCTTGCACCTGCTCATCCTCGAGGATCAAATCCTTGGGAGCAGATCCTTGATCTGCTGGATCTGCGTATGTGGATTGACCATGGATTTCCGAAACAAGTGAGGAAGGGATTCCACCCACTTTAATGCCCTCCTTCACTCACATACATACGGACCTGAGAGCCTCACTGATTCGTCCAAACCTCCATAGCAATGGCACCAAACCAAACAACACCGTTGGGCCAAGGCACCAACTAACAGGATTTAAAGAGTCATGGTGTGTCTGGCATGCCAGCTAAATCCTTGGCCCAACGCATCACTCTACCCTGGGCCTCCGGACACTTGGTGACGCCCACCTTGGCCGCACGCAAGGTGCGGTCGTGGATCATGTAGCCCGGCCTGGGGGGACGCAGAGTATGCTGGATGAGGTGATGAGAGGCACCACAGCGTTGAGGTTTCCAGGAAGGAAGAAGGAGCTTGAGATCTTTGGCCATGGATGGCGATCTTCATGCAATCGCTGCAGTAGATCTGAATTTGGTGGACCAGTGATTACTGACTCATCCATGCTTCTGGAATTTTCTGGATGTCTCCCTTGAGCAGCATGGCGCTCTAGTAAAGGAACCTACCTTTTGTCCAGTAATGGCTCTGAGTCATCTGAGTCCCTGTTTCATGCCGCAACTCCTCAGTTGCTAATTGCCCATGATGGAACGCTCATGGCATCTCATGGCTGAGGGTGTTTTATCCTCACTTGGCTCCCTCTGTGCAGAGTCTGGGCAAAATCCAGGACCCGAAGCCTGCCCACCCAACATGTCACTCTTGCAGTCTTGGGATGCCGGGCTCCATCACATGGAAAATCATGTTGGGCTCCTGGAGTGCAAGCAGGAACAAGGGCATTACTATTATACAACAAGAAGCTACTAGTAACAAGTGCATCGCTACGCTTTCATGAGGTGCGGCCACATTCAAACCAAGGATGCAGTCGGTCCAGATTCGGAATGACCCGCGTGTTTCATCTTTCTACCAGTATCGACAAGAGCGCCGACTAACTGCGTCCAGTGGGTAGCGGTTGCTATTTCGTGAACACCTAAAAAGTTCCACGTCAAAACCCGCAAACTGGTAAATAAAACAAAAGCGACAAAAGCCTCAGTACGCCCCTCGGTACATCCATCAGCCTTGCCCGGCATCTCCATGGCGAACATCGCCTCGTGATGCTCGGGGTTGAAGGCATGGTCCAGTGCCTCATCGAAAAACAGACGGGCGGCGACAGACGGTCAAAATTCTTTTGGGACCTATTGGGTACCGTACTTTGGTCATCTTTGGCCTACCAAACTGTGGTTGAATCTGATGTCGTTTGCAGTGGTTTTGTTTCAGAACAGCACCTGAACTTGGAATGCCCTGGAACGCCTGGCAAAACTCGGTCCAAAGTCTCCAAAGTCCGAGCCCATCAACTCGAGGCATATGGAAGGCTTCCAAACTTCCTCCCGCCTTCATCTTGGTGACACCAAATTCCCGGAAGGCTTCTTCCACCACGTGCCGAATCTCTTGCACCTCAAGCCGAGGTGTTGGGCCGAGCATCGGAGATGCAAGGTCGGTGGTTCAAGATCGCTTTGACCACCCATGTTGAAAAGAGAATTGGCATAGATCATAGATCCATGATTCATGATCCTTAATTTTGATAAGTGATGAGAATTGCTGATGATCAGCATGTGGATGCGTGTGACCTGTAATCCACTCAAGGGTGTCGCAACTGCCCACCTTTTCTCGTGATTCCGAGTGCTGTGAATTAACCACTTTGAGTCAGGCGTTTGCAGTTCTTTTACTTCAAGTATCACCAGTTGCGGGGTTGAAGGTAAATGGAATACAACAAACATACTTGTCACAGAGTTTCCCTTATCACCAGCAGGAGCCCTTTTTGCGGGTCCCGACGCCAGCCACCTCATGTTGCAACTCCTGGCATGGCGGCCAGTAACCCACTAGGGCCAAGACCTAGCTTGGGTTGGGTCTTGGCTGAAGGGTAGGTCCCTAAGTCATGGCAGAATACAGTACGAGAAACTACTCAATTATATACAAACAAATATATAAGAGAGAGAGAGAGTGGTTGATGAGGGTGAAATGTGCAGCTTATTATTTCCAGGCTGGCTCATGATTGAGCTTAACCAAATACAGTAATTGGTTGAGTGCTGGTCCTTTGGTTATGGCACCACAATCAATGGACAACCCACCCCAAACAATCAAGAAGAATGGATCGCTGTCTTACGATCTTGAAGCCAGGCTAGTCTCACTTCGCACAGTGACACATCACAGCAAAAGGGTCGATCTTCGCTCCAAACAGCGGTGTTGGCCAGATGTTTCTTGAGACAAATGGCAACCAGAAGGACCTGGGCCCTGCCCTCCTCACTCTCGTCCAGCTGGTCGATCTTCACGCTATCGATGGCCCTTTCCAAGTTGTCGGCGACATGAAGCAAGCTCAGCGCCTTAGCACTCGAAAAAACACAAAAAAGCTTGGCGAACATGCTGTGTTTCTAAAAAGAAAGGAATCGTAGTTTTGTTGCTGTCGATTTGTTCTGAAACAAAAACACGCTTTTCCTGGTTGGAACCTATCAATTTTCTTGTTATCGGCGGACCGTATTCAGATCCTTACGACCTTTTGACCAAAAAACGTTCGTTCTTCCGCAAGGATGCACCTGAAAGAAAGAGACTGATGGCAGCGCATGACAGCTCTTGTGATCCCGGGTGCCAGGTGACCCTCTCATGCGCTTGGGCCCATGTCAGCTGCCTAATGACAAATGAAGGCAAACCGTTGCAATGTCTCCCCTCAATTTTGCGGGCCGTCGCCAAACTCCACCCAGTGGAGATGGCTAAGCCGCCGACAAAGCGCTAAGTTCATGGACATGCAACAAAGCCATCCACAGTTCATGAACGATCTCCTGGAATACCCAAGTAAAAAGGTCTTGACCTATCTATATTAAACACTTTAGTATCAAATCGCAGGTGGTCTTCCATCTTTCTCCTACGAACTCTATTGATCGACGCATCCTTCTGGGTGCTCCCACGAACTTGGTGTAGCCGTACTTTGCCTCGTTCTCAAGGTCTTGGGCGTGCCTGGTTGAACTCGGCTCTTCGGTGTGGCCGCGAGCCGGAGGGTCTCTTCGGCCTCAATCCATTGGAGGCATCCTTATGGAGGATACCTATCGTATGCTTAGCCCTTTCATAACCCGTCCTTCGACATCTCAACACGGGAGATTCCCAAAGACCCCATTGTTTGGAAGATGTTAGAAAACTTCAAAAAAAAACACACAAACACACATATATACATATATATACACACATAACACACTTTTGATGCGGGGTACGCTGATCATAGACCAACTTGGTCCCCATCTATGTCAACCCTCCCTGGATCCCTGGAATTTCGATGTCACACAATTGAACAAGTGTTTCTGTTTTTTTTGAACAAAACAGTGTGAAAAATGAACACTGAAAATCACATGCTAAAACTCAAGGCAGCCTTTTTCTCCTGTTCATGTTCAAAGCTCTAGGATTCCCAGAGTACATTCTCAGGTCAAGTGCACGGATATATGATATTGTTATATTTCCATACCTTCTACGCTCCAACCTGCCAGGTCTACACCTCCCGCCTTCAATTCTAGCTGTTCAACTTTGGCTGCTGGACTGCATTGGTATCTGGAAACTCTCCAATTGTGAAATTCTCTGCGCCTCAGAAACTCCACCTCTGGAACTCTATTTGCCCCAGCTGTGCTCCTCCCCACTTCCTGGCAATTCTCCGAACCCTCCCTCCCTTCGGTAGTAAATATTCCAAGGCACATTCACAAGTCATATGCACCGGAATAATTATATACTTCCCCACACCTTCTACCCCCGTATCTACCAAGTCTACACATCCCACCTCCCCCTGGGCCCCTGTCCTGGTTTCCCAGCCCTAATCCCAGCTGTTCGGATTTGTCCGACTTGGCCTCTGAAAGCGACAGTTTCTGGAAACTCCACTCCACCTCTGTCTCATCTTTGTCTCAGCAGTGCTCCTTCACTGGCCAACTCAACTTCCCCATCTCCTGGCAAACCTCTCTCGGCAGAAACTATTTTGAGCCAGCTTTAAATTCTGTGCCCGGCGAAGCTGAGAAAGTACACCAAGATCCAAACAAACAGCTGACACGTTTTTGTGCACTTACTATTTCTGTGTGTCTGGACATGGCATGCACATATTATACCTGGATGACGCTGACCACCAGTAGTACTTGAACCTTCGACCACCCGTTGGCCACCCCGTTGAAGAGCAATGTATGTTAACGTGGAACGTGAGACGAGATTCATGTTTGGCCTCCGCCGGTGCCAGGTTAGTTTTCCCCACATCACTATGTGGGGTTCTGTTTTTTAGCTTTGCACCCGCCGCTCCGCGTCCGCCGCCGCCGCCTCCGCCTCCGCCGCCTCCGCCGCCTCCCCTCTTACACCACTCATCTCACACCACTCATCTTACACCACTCATGTTACACCACCTATCTTACACCACCATCTTACACCACTCCACCTCTCTGACACCACTCATTTTACACCACCCATATCACAAAACTCATCTCACACCACCATCTTGCACCACTCATCTTACACCACCGTCTTACACCACCCATCGTACGCCACTCATCTCACACCACTCATCTTACACCACTCATCTCACACCACTCATCTTACACCACTCATATTACACCACCTATCTGTCACTACTCATCTTACACCACCATCTTACACCACCCATCTGACACCACCCACCTCACACCACCTCTAAAACACCACTCATCTTACACCACCATCTTACACCACTCATCTTACACCGCCCATATCACACTATTCATCTCACACCACCATCTTACACCACATCTCACACCACCATCTTAGACCACTCATCGTACACCACTCATCTCACACCACTCATCTTACACCGCTGTCATCTTACACCACCTATCTTACACCACCCATCATACACCACCCATCTCACACTACTCATCTTACACCACCATCTTACACCACCCATCTTACACCACCCATCTCACACCACCTCTCTGACACCACTCATCTTACACTACCTATCTCACACCACCCATCTTACACCAGGCACAGGACTTGGTGAACCTGGTGGCAGGCACAGCACTGGACTGTGTGCACCCGCACTACGTAGCTACGGCGCGCGTGGTCGCCGCTGGGCCGCGGTTGCCGTTTGTGGCGCAGGCACAGCACGTGGTGAACCTGGAAGGCAGATTTCGTGGCAGGCTGCGCGCGTGGTCGCCGCTGGGCCGCGGCTGCCTTTTGTGTGGCAGGCACAGCACTTGGTGAACCTGGAGTGCAGATTTCGTGGCAGGCATAGTACACAGAGGCTTCAGGAGGAAGACTTCGTGGCAGGCGCAGTACACCATGCACCTCACACCACTCATCACTCATCTTACACCACTCATCACACACCACTCATCGTACACCACTCATCACACACCACTCATCACACACCACTCATCACACACCACTCATCTTACACCACTGATCACACACCACTCATCACACACAACTCATCTTACACCACTCATCACACACCACTCATCACACACCACTCACCACACATCACTCATCTTACACCACTCATCACACACCACTCACCACACATCACTCATCTTACACCACTCATCACACACCACTCATCTTACACCACTCATCACACACCACTCACCACACATCACTCATCTTACACCACTCATCATCAACAGGGCTGAGTGTAAGTTGGATATCGGGTGCCTGCTTTGTTGTTGTTTACCTCGGATCACATCAACATGGCATCTGGCGCAACCCTCCAAATCGTGTTGGCAGCTTTTTGACCGTAGTCAAAAAACTGTCTTTGATTGCATACAGTAGTTTTCCATGGTGTAGTTATTCCCAGACCTCACCCGACACCAGGAAGGGACCCCGAATCCTTTTTGCACACATCCTCGCATTGTTGACCCAAACTGCAAGACCAAACGACAGGTCAAGAGGTCGCTAGATTCGCCCGCACAGGTGGCATTCTGATGTTTGCAGTGCCTTCTCTTGGCTTGCTGCAAGTCCTGAGTTCAATGAGGCTCTGGCACTGGCACCCTGTCATTTACAATGAGCATGTTGTGGAAGCCAACAGGGTTGTGTCTGTAGCAGTTATATATATATATACTGAGTAGAAAAAGAGTTCAATTTTACTGTATTTTACTGGTACGTAGTAGATTGGGCACAAGAGTCAAATGTTCTTCATGGTTGATATATGCTGATACCCAAGTCTTCCATGGTCATCCAGGATCATCCAGGTGACAGGGGTCGGACAAAGCTTTGCTGCCACCAATAAGAAACACGATCTAAAGTCTAAAGACCTCCTGTGTCACCACATAATATGACATGGCATCGAAGACAAGGAGATACAAGGAGATTTGCAGGATTCAGATGGATGGCCCAACTTACGGCCCAAGTCGTCCACTCTCCCACATGGAACCTTTGGCTATACTGCTCCTTAAACATACCAAACATGTCGATATGCCAACCGTGCTGATTGAAAAGAACATTGAACTTGCCATGATGATCTATGATGATAGAACGATAGTTCATGATTGTTCTTAGGTTCAGCCTTTGATTACCATCCCACGGCTCAGGCTGGCATGGTGTGGTATCCAGGACGTGTTCCAAGGAAGACTCGAACAACAAAGATGTGGCTCCAAAGCTGGCATCTAGAATCTAGACCGATCACTGGAATTTAAGAGTCCCCTCCACCCTTTTCTCTCTGCCAGCTGAGCTTCATCTTTGCTGGCTTTCATTTTCTCTGACAGCTCTTGCAACTGCTCCTTTGCCTCAGTTAGCCAAGTTTGATTTGGAATCCGCCAACACCCAAACAAGTGAGCACCACCCTTTCCTCAACGCAAATAAACATCTCGGATGTCCATGCAGAATGCAGCGATGTCTGTGGTGCCTTATGCTGCTGTGATGTGCTCTGTGTGTGTGTTGGTTCTGATCTGGTGAAATGTCATGAAATGTCATGAAGTCAAGTGCAGTTTGGCGATTTGTAAGGTCGTGAAATGGATTAGGGTGGTACATTGTGATGTCGAGAAATGTACGCGGGTGTGGGGCAAGAAACGTGAACATCTGCAATTGCAGTGTCAAGATGTTTCAAGTCACAAAGTCGATTGAAGGGAGAGCAGTAATTGTGGCACACATGAATTCTCTGATAGCGGCAAAAGGTACAGCAGGGAGGTGCGAGAAGAACGAAGCGACGGGCAGAGACAAGGAAACCTCGAGAACCAAAAGTTAGCCCACAGACCCAGAGTCGAGCCCCGTGCCTCGGTTCAACTCGTAGTCGCCTATGTCTATGTACTTCAAATCAATTGTTGTACAACCAGTCTGCCGCTGCTCCGTTTCCAAGCCTATATACTTTTGTGAATGAGCGCTAGATGCGTTTGGCCGCAACCGCACGCGGCGGTTTTTCAATCTGGCGGGAGGTTTATGCTGATGACCTCTGATGAAACGAACCCATTCATTCAACTTGGTCTGACCCTTGAGCTCGAGGAAGCTTCCGTGGCCCAATACCCTGAACAGTTTTGAATCTCCGCCAAGCTACACTTAGTTTTTCCATGTCTTTTTTCCCATGCGCCAATACCCAGTTTGTTGCTGTTGACCCCAATTGATGGGTCGTTGACTGACTTCGTTGACCTCAGTTCTTCCTAAGCGCCATCCTCGATGTCCAACACCAAGGAGCCAAAGTGATCTTTTCCTCAAGCTCTTCCACGCTGGGTGTCGTCTCCTGAACCAGATTCTGCCCCCCACTGGGCATCATAGGAACATGGTACTGGTGCAGACTTCTCATTTACTCTTTGTCTTGTCGATGAAGTAGTCTCTGGCTGCAAACACAGATAGCCTAACAAAGAAAAAATAGACCATCCTCATCCAGCGGGAGGCATGTTTCGGGGAGTGTATGATAGGACTATGTAAGCCATCCAGGAACAGGTGGCTTTGTCTATCAAAGAGGTTGGTGCCTTGCAAGCTCTCGGTTGTTTTGTGGCACCTATATAAATATGCCACCCAGAGTACTTGTGTCTGTCACCCAATAGTATGTCAGAATCAATCTGAACATGCACCCGAAACATATATATGCTATATTGTAGTGTATTATATGAGCAATCCCCAAGACCGATCATAAATATTGGTAAATTCCATATGTTGGTATCGCTCTTGGGGTTCGCTATATCGCTTTACAGTGTCGGATGCCTTTGTCATATTTCTTGAGGATCTCTCTTCAAAACATGGCCAAGGGGAAGTGCACAAAAAGAAGGAAAGACAGAGAGAGAGAAAGAAAAATAAATAAATAAAGATATATAGATAGATATAGAGAGATAGAGATAGAGATAGAGAGATAGAGAGATAGAGAGGGTGTTCCATTGACACAATAGCATTTCCTTCCGTCCTTCCCCCTTCATTGCGGTTCTTGTTCTAGAGCTCTTCATCTGTGTCAGACTCCACAGGCACTGTGAAAATGATACAAACATGATACGAAAGGGGATCCGTTCATCTAGACCACATCCCTTTGGTATCACTTCATGTAAAGCGAAATCACATCAAATGATTGAAGATTATTGAAGTGTACATTATGAAGGTATTGCTTTTGGGCTCATATACAGATTTGTGCACAGACCCTTTAGGTCGTTGCTCCTATTATGTCGTCATATGGTGTCCATATATTATTACATCAAAAGCACCCAAGGACCCAAGCAACTGGTTGTACTTGTCTCTCCTGCTCCTCAGAACAGAAGCCACGTGCCTCAGAGCCGGCAGTGAGCACACCATAGGTGCGTCCAGGCGATGTTGTGATCACGTACTCGCCACACTTTATGCTTGAGACAGGCTTCATTGAATCTCTTCTTCAAGATCTCCCGAAGCAGGCCCGAAGCATAAACATAAAGATGATGATAAAAGGCCATAGAGCATCTACTTTTAAAATGCTTGTCCAAAGGCTATCCCCTCTGTTCTTTCGAGATCTATGCCCTGCGATTGTGCCGTGACTGAGCCCACGGCGACCCGTGGCCACCGCAGGGCCGAGGCTTCGGCTTCGAAGGCGAGATGTGGCACTACCTCAGTATGTCACGAGTGACGGCTCGAGCAGCTCGGTCATCTCCTGTCGTCTTGTGGAGCAAAAAAGACCGAAGGCATATGAGAACTGTTCTGGAAGTTGACATCCATGAAATGGCCTGATTGGCTGTGGGTTGGACGGTGGTGGAAAGTCTTGAGGGATTCGACCTGCAAAGAAGGAAGATTGACCTATCAAGTGACCTACCTACCGTGTTTTTTTGTCTGTCCAGCATACCCCCAGACCGAGGGTTTCTGCGAACGACTTCCGCGTGGCTAATAGTTGACCCATATGCCAACATTTCAGGTACTGTTGAAGTCTTGCAAACTGCAAAAAGGCCTCATGATCCAGCTGAGTGATGGAAGCATATGAACCCACCGAGCTAGTGCTCCAATACCCAACCATTGCTTTGGAACCGGATCCACCCCAGATCCACCCCAGCCCTCCCGAGGCTTGGACGGCTCTGCTCGCTGGTGGGACAGGCCTTCGGTGGCACATATGCCGTACTTTTGTCGCATCTGTCAGTCCTTTTGAGAACAAGAGCATGTAGGTCCCTGGAACAGTGATTTTGACTCATTGGCAATTGCCAAGGGTTTAGATCAGTAGACCAGCTGTTCAGATTGAGCAAAGTAGCCCATCTACTTTCACAGAATTCGAATCCTGCCAATTCATCTGAGCCAAGAAGAACTCTCAACCTAACTCCGATTTCCACCAATATGAGATGAGGACAAATGTGCACAACGTAACATTTCTTCACAAGCATTGTAATAACCATTATGAAATTTGACCAAAGAAGACGTTGGACCCACCCATCCCGTGGTACGCCTCGCCTCAAAACGCTTTGAAGACAGGGCCGAGCGAGGCTACGTACCTTCAGACAGCGGCCACTGTAAAGTTTGTGCGAATAGTTTGTTGGAAAGTTTGGCAGTGTATGCGGCAGTGTATGCGTCAGTCTCTAGTCCAAAGGGCGTTCAAAGCCTATGTTTGGTCAGTCTGCCCAGCATTGCACAGAGGAACACATGGTGAACGAATGCCTTATTATGCAGATTATAGACTTTCAAAAATGTCTGCTTCCGGTATCTTGGTTCATCCAGAGAGCCTGCAAGGACAATGGAAAGAAAGCCCATGGTTCCAATGAATGGACCGCAGTGCCAGTTCACCAGAAAATCTGGTGTTTAGATGTTGTATGATGCTCTAGTACCATCAGCGAGCAAATTACACTAAACATAACTAAACGAAGGACCTTAGGACCTTCAAATACTTGTGATCTTTTATGTTTTGGAATTGTCCGTATGAGGCCAGCTGTTCAACTGGACTTAGACTTAACTTCACTTAAGGCTCGGCTGGACCTCCCACACCAGCGTTCGGTGGTAGCCATTGCCCTACCCATCACCCGAGCTGGGTTCAACTCGCCGACCGCATCTGCAGCAGCCTAGCAGGAGCATTCTCACATGCCGAGCACAGGGATTCATTCCCCCTTCCACAGTCGAATCCGGGCGGCATTGGGTTCATGGGGCTGGACCGTGGAAGTTCACGGCCAAACCAAAAAGACATTACAGTATGCATAATACATAATATGATATAATATGAATTATCGCATGGACTCGGCATGGATGGTAAGGCGTCCCGTCCTCTAGACAGTTGCATTCCGGGTGACCTGTTCTGATGGCGGAGCGAAATTGGATGAGAATATGGCTTGCCCCTACCAATTCAATAGCAAGTGGGGCAAAATGGGGCAACTTTAATTCCCTTGTCATGTTTTGCACATCAGGGATTGTTATGCTCTTTGTCATCGGACAATAAGGAAGACCTTGATGAAATCCCATGTCGTATCATTGTGCTTACACCTGCTTACGCGACTCACATCTTTGCTTACGCGGTACACTTGGAGCAAGAAGGGCTTACGCAGACCTTACGCGACACCTGTTTTGCACGAAATGCAGCTGACACCACAACGCGAGCTTACGCGCTGCATATTTTGTACAATGCACATCTACTACACCTAATCTTCCGATATGGATGCTGAAGAAGCACTTGAGGATGAGGAGAAGGAGAAGACTCGAAGGCAGAAGCAACCCAGCAGCAGCAGCAGCAGCAGCAGCAGCAAGAAGTGGAGAAGTGGAAGTGGAAGGGCAATGCGGGCAAACCACATTGTATATTATATTAGAGGTCTTCAATCACACGCTGCCGCTGACGCAACGGTTTCGGAGAAGGAGGCATGCGGGCTACTGGTGGAAAAGGACACCGGAGCTTACGCGCGGCTTACGCCCGGCTTACGCGCCGGAACTCACAAAAATCACTATATCTGACATGGAGGTTTGACTGTTCAGCTGTGGTGTTTGGACTGTGTGCTTTCAGCAATTTGAGCTTGGATTGTGTATGTATGTGTGGAGTTGGACTGTTCCTTGATCCTGCCACTTCTGAGAGGGTGCTCATGTATTTCTCATGTATTTCTTCAGAGCTTACGCATGGCTTACGCAACATGTTTGCTTTAAAAAAGCTTACGCAACCTTACGCGCGTGCAGGTTTTGCTTACGCGCAACTTCGATATGACAACGCACTGAGTGAATATAAACAGGAAGGTTTTTCGAATGGCTCTTGCCTACTACTGTGCAGTACTAAGGTTGTTTGATCGGTTCCCCGCTGCCGGCAATGCCTCGGGTGGGAAATCGGTCGGACTAACAGACTGCTGTTTGGACCAAAGGAGGCGGAGGCTTTTGGCAATCTCAACGGAGTCTGTGGGGTTTTTGGTCAGCGGCTCTTTCGAACAGGATTTGGAATGTCTTGAGCTTGCCCAGATCTAGGGTTGCTTGGATCGGTGCAGAATACATTCCAATGACTCCCCATTTATATGGTCCACATTCATGTTTGTTTGAGAGAGGGTCAGATTATTGGTTGCCGAGGAATCTCATTGTATCTCATTGTAGGTCATTTGTTGGATTCCCAGAAAGGTGGTACCAGTAAGGCCTCCCGAAGGGTTGCAACCACCGCAAGTTTGCTTGAGTTGCAATGAGGCATCACAGTTCGTGCTGTTCAATCAGTAATGGAGAATACGGTTGCGACTGATTCCAATGTGAGAGGGCTTGGCATTAGTGAATCTTTTGCGTCTGGAGAAAACGAATCCCGCACCAAAAATACAATCTTCTTTTGAGTTACTAATAGCGATGGCCTCCAACCTAGTACCGATGGCCTCCAACCCACAAAAACGGCCGGTTCACTGCAGCCCTTTTCTTGCGCTCGAAACAGAGGGCGTTTCACCTGCACGCAAACAGGTACGGTTAGAGTGGAAGGAAGGAACAAAGCAGCTGTGGCACCTGTTAAAAGTGGTTGTACAACCCAACCCGTGGCTCAAACAAAAGTTGAAACTATTGTGTGGGAGGCCTCAACCTCTCAGCCTGTATAGGCATGGGGGACCTGGTGATAATTGCCACAGAAAGAATGAGAGAGAAAAAGAGATGTGTGGTCAAAACAACCACTTTAGGTTTTAGGTGTTCCATGGTGTTCCCCACTTGGGACAAAGCACATGACATAAATCATGAATGCCCATCATCTTCCGGTGCATGGATGATGGAAGATTCCTCGGACGTGACAAGCTTTTCAGCTGGGCTGTTACCAAATATATACGTGATCTGTCATGCCACTTCTCACTTGGCCAGCACCAGTGGCAAGCGGAAATCTCTCTGGTGAGTCTGATGATCTGCGCCTCATTAGCGGCCAGCCCCAGGACATGGATGCATGCGCTGCATGCGCTGCAGGCGGTGCATGCCAACCGGCCTTCCATCGTGGGGATGGGCAAAATGTAGTGTTTTGGGCAGGTTTTGGCCTTTGAGCGAAAAACACTGGAGGCCCAGTGTTGAAACAACATGAAACAAGAGGATGCAATGGATACAATGGGCATTCATGGGCCAACAAAGAGATGCCTGATTGTGTTATTTGGGGATTGCTCCTGTGGGGTCAATCATTCGCCACGCCACCTCAACAAAAATGAAATGACAATATACAAACCAAAATAGACCAAACATAGAACATACAGAAATGCGTTACGAACACCTCAGTTTGTTTTCCACATTTTACTTGACAAATCAGGTGAATGTTCTCTTGCGATCTTATTGGGTAAATCTTGGTGAGACAGGGCAGCTGTACAATGATGTTCCTAGTGATGCATCTCTGGGGCCATACCAGCTTTTGAGGGCAACGAGGTGTCCAGCATACCTGCTACACAGTAGAGTAGGAACGCTCGTGCTTGGTAGTCTTGGATACGCACTGCACAACACACCGGATTGCGTGGGCCTGTGGTGGCGGCGGAACCCAAGCCTAAACACAACTGTCAAAATTGAGTTTGACAAAAGACTGGTTTCTTCTCCACAAACATGTGTGAATATATGACAAATCAAACTACTTATGGCCACTCTGTTTTCACACACAATTTGAGATCAGGAACATCGTCTACTTTCCGTATCAAATCCTTGCCCGGTCATGTCGACCACTGTTTGATCTGTTTGTGTGATTCATCTCGTGACTCGTGGTCTTCGATGTCTCAGTCTGCACCCGAGCCCTGCGCCTCGCTTGTCGAGGGTGGTGGTTGTTTGGGTGCCTGCAGTGGTGACCGTCCCCAATCTCCAGCGAGGCAACAAGACTTTGGCTGGCAAATTCCTCCAAAACAACTGCCTCCCTGGCAAGTCGGAACAATGCTACCCATCAAATCCCGCCCATCTGTCCATGTATGCCGATTATCTCATGGCCACACCTTCTCTCCTTGTAGGTCATGTCTCAATCAATCCTCACCTTGAAGTGTGTCCCCGCTTGCGCCTCTGATGGTGGAACCCAAGGGGCATCATCGCCTCCATGCACTGTGAGCTGCGGCACTGGTCACGGTGAAACTCGGTGATCATTTTGGATGGAGATGGCACCACATTATCAGTCGACCTCCTACTGGTGCTGGTGCCACTGGCAGGAGGTGGAGGAGGTGGTGAGATGCCAGCTGTTTCGACTGGTGGTCTCCGCAAACTTGCGCTTTGGGCGTCAAACCGATTCAATTAGCAGGGTTGAGGCATTTTATTGCCACGTAGATTGAGCGTATCGGAGAAAGCAAACTGGAATAACTATATATATATATATATTTTTTTAAAATGTATATATATATATATATGTGTGTGTATGTTCACAAGATGGGGGCACTCCTCATTGGTCAGTTGGTGAAGCGCCCCGGTCCTTTGAAGACAAATCCATCTTGTTCTAGGTCAATCATGTCAGATACCCCGAAGCCCTTTGTACAGTTCACAAATTTTGCTGAGTGTCACTTCATGTGCTTCCAGTCAATTACCCCAATGACCTCTCAGCATCAGCCCAGGCCCAGCCTCCATAGGCAATGAGCTCATCTTTGGCTCTGCCTGTGACAAGCTCTGAGGCGGGGAACATTGCCCATGGGTGGATAGGCATACAGCGTTCCCAATTGCCCCTTATCCATCACTTGCGAATGGAGCTGCTTTCTCAGCTTCATGTGACAGAATAATTCAGGCCAGGTTCTGGGGAAAACATGGAGGGTTGACAAGGTTGAGTTCAAGGCCTATACTTCTTTTTAGCTAAGTGTGAAGTTTTTTCCCTAAACATCTAGGAACAAAATCATTAGTGCGAGATATCCTGCGTCCAGTCGGTAGTGGCTATTGGAACTACTAGCGGCCTACCCCCCCCCATATGTATATAATGTTGAAAACATATACATTAGAAAACACGGGCCCCTTGGCCCCCAGACGCTCCTGCGTGTTTTCTCCTGAACATGAGTCGTGTGCCGTTCATATGGCATGGACACTGCTTTTTCACACTCCCTCTAGAGTATTTCAACTTTACGAAGGCATGAACAGGTCCTTCATGAACAATTCCTTCATGATCTTCGATCACTTCTTCAACACACGGCGCATGGACGAGCCTGGGAATGTCCTTCCAAATCGATGGCCTGCAGATAGGATGCCAGGTCACCGAATCGGCCGTCGTGGCCTTGCCCATGCTGCATCACCCATGTGAGGTACTGATGCTTTCCTTTGTCTTCAACCATTTACTTGTAGCTCAGCTTGAGAGCGGCATCATTGGGGAGCAAGCGCATCGTATCACCCCACCCTTCGAAGGAGCTGATGCCAGCCGGCATCTTCACCGCATCCATCTTGGAGGACGGAATGAGAGGCATTTGCCCACCTGCTTTCTTTCCAGTCGCACGATCCTCTGCCAAGCTACGGCCTTCAGGAGCGGTAGCTTCTTCAAACATCAGTTCCACCTTTTCCCAATCCTCAACGGAACGAAGGCGTGTGCTGCCATCATGCATTGCGCCCGCAACGTCAAAGGCGCCTGGCATGAGCAGTAGGGTCAGTAGGCACGATGGCGCACTGATCTTCTGACAGTCCTGAGGCATTGAGACAGATCCAGCCTTTTGCCTCAGAAGGGAACTCAACAATTAGCAACTTTCCGTTTGCACTTCGAAAGGGCCTCTTGAACTCGACTTGTCCAAGTGGCCATGGTCTCACTTTCCTGGGCCTAGAGTTGGAAAACTTCCTTCAGGCACTCTGCCAGCCAGTCGTGTTTGAGCTTGTCTGGAAAACGCTCGTCCAAAGCCGCCCATATGTACTTGTCTCCATTCTCTTCCTTCAACTTCTCTAAAGACATTAAAGACAAGTGTTCGACTGACTCGAGCGCAACACTGTCGAGGAGGCAGAACACAAAGGGACCTCGCTGCACAGCGGTGGACGCCATGCGAGCTTCGACCCACAAATTCCAGCGGCGGTATTCCCGGGCATCGAGGTTCTCCCCGCTGAACCGCCAATGGTTTCCGAAACCAGTCGACGTGTCCGAGGCCACGGCGACAGCAACAAGTGGACACCAGTCTCCAGACCTACCTAGGTCAGACTACCCGGATCCCTTTATCTCCTTTTGGCAGGGCTCCGCTACCAATTAGAAAACACGGGCCCCTTGGCCGCCAGACACTCCTGCGTCCACCCAGGCGGCGGCTTGCACCTGTTTTCTCCTGAACATGAGTCGCCTGCAATTCATATGGCATGGACATACAAAAAAAAAAATATATATATATATATATATACATGTACAACTACAGTATATATATATATACCTATATATATATATGTGTATAACCTGAGAAGGGGGGGGCGAAAGCCAGCAGCCGCCAGACAAGTGTCTCTTTTCTGGCGGGCGTCGCGGCGCAAGACACATGGTCGGCAGCTTGCGAGTCAGTCGCGCCGCGGATGCGGGGGGCTTTGGGATAAGTTTGGTATGAAAGAAGTAGTGAAAGAGAAATGCGATACGTTGTATGTTGGTGTAGGTCATCATCATAAGGCAATGGCATGCGTTTGTCACACGCAGGAAGGTACACATCTTATGGAAGTTGGAAGGCGACATCAGCGGTAGCGAAGGGGAAATACCGTCTGAGCGCGCGTGAGTACAGCATGCGTTTGAAAAGAAGCAATTATGTATTTGCTACATTTTGGAGTGATTGAAGTTTGCAATGCATACTGCGGCACGTCGACAAGCGGCATTTTTTGATTTGGAGGAGTGAACGGGCACGTCACGTCTTAGCCGGGACACGGACGTTTGATCCCGCGGCGCAGAAGGGGAGGTCCAGCGCGAGTAGCTTGGGCTAGCAAAGGAGTGAGGATTTGTGCGCCTATCGATGCACATGCCTGGACTTGAGTGAGTCATGTTCTGACTCGATGCAAAACACAATCTTTTTCTTTTAACGGGGCCTTTATTAGACGATCCAAACACATTCTTTATTCTTCTCTTTCTTATCAACCATGGGCCTTTCTCACTCCGAGGCCTTGACTTTGGCACCTGCGTGTGTAGATCTTTGGGCCGTGGACCCAGGCTGACTGGATTCGGCCACGACTGCCAGCAAAAAGGCGACGTCATGAGTCAGTAGTATATAGAATATTCAATCTGCACCGGTAAGCCGGGAAAACGTTCGGTGCGTGTGGACGCTGCGAGAAGCATCCACTCGACCGAGCACATGGTGCAAGTATAGTTTTTGCTAGCGGGCAGGAGCCCTATGCGGATATGTAGTCAACCTCGCAGGCATCCCCACCGAAACAAACTCAAGGACTTGAACTCATGTCACTGTCGGTTCTCTATGGATTTCGCGAGTTACGGGTTGTCCTGCAAGCTCGTATCCTACACGCGGCTGTGGTCTGCTCTGTACGTGGGCCCCTGTCTCCACTCGATTGCTCAATGCCCATTGTCCAAATAGCCTCCAAAGCCCTTCATGATGCTAATGATGCACTACTCGGCGTCCATTGCATCACTCGCATCACCAAACCCCATTTTCACTGCTTTTCTGACCCTCGCGGAGCGCTCTCCCCACCAAGCTCCGGGTTCACCCTCTCAAAATGTCCCTCTCACCACCCTCCCCCCCACACCCCCTTAACTCACTTCGTTCGCTCTAAAGGCTCAAGCCTAGCCTATCGGCTGGCTTTCGTAATTTTATATATACATAATATACATATTCTTGTAGGCCTCGACAAGGAGTGCCACAATCGACACGAACTCTTCACAATCGACACGTGCTCGGGCGTCCCGGCGCCATGGCGTGGTTGGTGTCTGGGGGAACTCCTCGTTGTACCTCCCATTCTGGCAGCGCAGGTCGCACCATTCGGTGACCAGAAAGCATCAGGAGAACCTCTCTTGCTCCTGACACCTCCGATACAGTGTACCAGGGGCAGGCTCGACATCCTGACTAAAAACAAGGAGCTCGATTCCTCTTTCCAGAGTGACATCTCTTGACGACCTGCCTATTGGAACGTGGCAAACTCCATTGCGCCTCTTCACAATCTCCTCGTCCACCAGGCGAACTCCATCCAGCTGATTTCCGCAGGTGATCCAGTTCTCGTGGACATTGTGCGGCCTTCCTCAGCTTTGGCTTTTTCATTGCTACTAGGAGCAAAGGGCATTACTACTAGGAGCAAGGATGCTACTAGTAGCTCTTGGCATTACTACTAGGAACAAGAACTACTTGTTTGCTTGTTTTTCTTTGCACCATAACGGACTTTTCTCTGCGTTCCCTATCCTACAATCCATGAGACCCTCAGGTTTGGAGTCAAGACTCAAGACATCTCAAGACAAAATCCTCTGTGCACCCGCACACGGTAACGCCTATTCCTTGAATGTTCAAGATCTGGAACTGCCAAAAGAAAACACTGAGGACAGGGCCGAAGAGCTCCAGCTTCTGACAGTTTGGAAACATCCGCTCCTCGGGAGCTGTCTTTGAATGCTTTAGACGTGGACAACTGCAAGTCTACGGTTTAATACATGTTTCAGAAAGGTTCGCAAACGTGGATGTCCACCAGCATGTATCTTCTTTGTGCAGGCTTTGCTCCGATCTTGGTGCATGTGGTCATGTGGTTGCTCCTTCATGGACATATATGCCTACAAAGTAACTGTTTGCAATCCCAAAGTAACTGTTTGCAATGCCAAAGAATGTTCCAAAATATCTCAGGGCTGATCTTGGTGCGAGTCCACCGATTCTATCACATGTTCTACTGTGGGGTCAAACTGCCTAGCAGGAAAACATGATTGCTAGAGTCTGAACAGTTCTTGAAGAAGTTCCTATCATAGACCAGTATAGACCAATGACCCCCTCGTAATACTTGGACCCACGCGATGAGGTTGTATATCTCATCCGGCTTTCGAGAAGTCTCACGTACCTCGCTGACCTGGGTGGGAGACATTTTGGTCGGCCACTGACGACCGGCCGAGCGGAAAAAGAAGAGCCCCACCCAAACTGACGAGCACCTGCCATTCAAAGGGGATCCAGTGGGGATCAAGTGGATGATGTGATGATTCAGGTGGGTGATCTGATGAGATGTGGAGAACTGAGGAGACACGGCTCTGCCAAGGCTTGTTGAGGTTCTTACTCATAGCGAGAAACAATCTGTGAAAGTCTATGAAACAATGAAACATGGCAATCATGGTGAATCTTTCTTTCATATGCCCATTCACAGCATACAGACTACCCACCTTTCCTTTGGAAAGCAAGAGCCCGCATTGCATCGTGAGTGGTGAAATTGAATCGCACCAAACTCTACCAAGGCCGCAGCGATCACATCACAGTCCAGGTTCCTGGCAGCAAGAAGCACCATCTAGTATACAATTGTAATGCATGCACCCATATGCACCACGCGATTCTGCTGCAACCCTTTTGCTCAAGTCTGCCTGGCCTGTTGAGCTTTGGGTTGCCTTTGATGCCAACCAAACCTTAGAGTCTTAGAGCCGAAGCAAGAGCCCGAAAGCCTTTGTCATAGGTTTCAGCCACAAGAAAAGACAAAACTCGTCAAATCTTTGCCTACCCAAAGCGTACTCAACAAGCATGAAAGCCAAGTGAGGGGCACTCACACAGGAGCCTACCAAATGGTACAGTACGATAATCCATGGAATGGATGTTGCTTGTGAGATCTGCTTCCTTTGAGTCTTGGGCAGTGTTCCTTTGCGTGATTGATCCTCAGAACGAGAGAACTCGATTCGATCTTTAGGCAACTCAGCAGGCTCCGAGCTTGGGGAAACAATTTCACCTGCACCGAACCCTCTAAGCTTTTCGTCCAAACCGTGTGGCAGTCTGGGTTCCCCCTACATATGAACTGAACTTCTGATGTGGGTAGCTCTGCCGCCCAAGCGAATTTCATGCACGAGCATGCTTACCCGTCACCGAATGTCGCAGCCAAAGCTCCAGTGCCCCGTCCGGCCGGTGCGGATGATCCGTTGAAGCTGATTCGTCTTCACCCAAACGATCTCTTCGATCCTGAAGCATCGGTTCTGGAATTGACCGAACCTGTGCTCACAACACTCGCCAACCTCCATGGTCAAGTTTCAGGTTCGGAAATAACAGGGCAATCAAAGAGAATCAAAGCACATCAAAGGATGCAAAGGATGGGAAGGTAGTTCTGGGATGCTCACAGCATGCGCTTTCTTCAGGCGTGATCCAGAATGATCCAAGCATATCCAAGCCCAAACAGGTCAACCACCTGACCGTCAACCCACTTCCGCTCTGTCCTCTTGTATCCCCACAAGCGAAAACACTCCCGCGCCAGCTCCATGGCCTTGGAAAGTGTCTCATTAAGAACATGAACTCGCAAATGACTTGACTAGTAGCCTCCTTGCTCCTAGTAGTAAGGTCAGGAGCCCTAGTAACGTCCTTGCTCCTAGTAGCGATCCTAGGAGCGTCCTGTTACTAGTAGCAAGGCCAGGAGCCCCTAGTAGCGTCCTTGCTCCTAGTAGCGATGCCAGGAGCCCCTGGTACCTTCTAGCAAATGACTTGAAAGGGGAACTCGATGGCCTCGACCACCTTCTATGAACTATTCGCTATTTGGCTGACACCACCGATTCAGTCTTGGTCGATTGGTAGGGAAATGAAAAGGACTCTTGTAAACGTCTGGCCCTAAATGAACTTCTTGAGCACTAGGAGACAATGGAACCCGGAGCCTTGCAAACAACTCCAAAACGGTTCACGCACATCAAATATCACATATGATGACAAACAAGAAGTCAAACCGCATGGGCTGCCTGATTCTATCATCCACCTTGTGCTTGGTCTCTCTATCTCTCGCTGATTCGCTGAAGTATTTGAACTACGGAATGCATTCTAACACCAGCCTTGAAGACTTGCTGTCACATTGTCACATCTTACATCATTTTACCGCATTCTTCACCGCATCATAGACTTGTTGGTCTATGAGATCCCTTTCCACCTCCCTCCCGCTGGGCGTCCACACCCGTCCAGTCACCCACAAGAAGATCATCCTCATGGTGGAAATCAGTGGAACGCCAACTGCAGCGAACCTTCTCGAAACCTTTTCGAAGTTCGTTAGAGATCCAGGTCTGGCTGTGTTTTCTTCTGCAAACCTTTGAGTGTCTCCTTCAGTGTTGGCGGCCCCGTAAGGGGCCTTTTGAGCTCTTCATTTAGGACTCACACCCATGCTCATGGATGTCCCCGATGTTCAGGTTCTTCACCTCTTCGTCGGTCAAAGTCCCGTAGGGCCTTGGTCGACGGTCTTGGCTGCCGAACTGAGACTGATGAAAGTTCCGTCAGCCGCTCAACACAAACCATGGGGATGAGGTCACGGTCACAAGGTTCGGCGACCATCAAACATGTCCCAATGAAATATTCTGAAATGTTCTGAATCTGTTCAGAAAAGACTAAAAACAAAGACAAGAGCCAAAAAATCTGGCCAGAAACATGTCGTCCCGTCCATGGGCACCTGCTCCAAGACCACACAATGACCACACACTACTAGTTTCTAATACATTCCAGCATCTCCAGTTCCACGGGAGCCTGACAACTCCATGTGGATATCCCATGGAGGATCGGCCATCACCACGCTGATCAAGCCTGGCCAAATCGAAATCACTTGGGAGCTGCCTTTCCTCACACGTCTGCATGTCTGTGCCCTTAATCCTGCATGTCCTGATATCTGCGTATGACATAGATTTCGCGGTCTCCCTTCTGCGTGTTGGGCCAGCGCGTTCAACAGGGACAACTGCTGCTATGTGCAGCATCCAGTTAGTGAATGAATTTCTTCTGTATGAAGCATCGGAGCAGCGAGTGCAGTACGTCCACGAAGGATCTTCCAACCTTTCCATCAACATGCAAACTCAATACGGAAGGAAGGAAGGAAGGAAGGAAGGCAGGGGAGGGGAAGGAAAGATGGTTTGCTACGCCGGAAGCCAAATCTCTCGAAATGCAGCTTGTGGTCAGCCCAGCAGGTTACATCCCGTGACACAGGACCCAGCGCCAGGATTCAAGACTTCCACCAGTGCCAGGAGCTCAAATCGCACTTGGATGACACCGAAAGGATCAAGCTGATCAAGCATATCAAGCCTACATTGGCCTACAATGATACATGCCATGACCCCCTGGCCTTTAAAGATGGACAGGGGAAAGGAGCGCAGGTCGCAATGGATCCATTGCCTCGTGATGCATTGCATTGAGAGCATCAAACCATGTCGAACGCCATCTGCTCTTGGAGAGATCTAAGCATCGGGTCTCTCGTGGATGCTTTAGGCATATGGGGGCTCAGGATGGGTGTCGTCTTTGCAAAAGACCTACATCAAGAGTAGTACTTGAAAGTGTGCGTCTTTCCCTGCCACTTACACGGCCCACAACCCACACTATCACCCAACAGCAAAGTAGTGGAGTAGAGTAGAGAAAACCAACCTACAATCTACAATCTTCATCATCTTCAGTGGGAGCGCCTGTTGCATTGAAGGACACGTGGCGACGTGGTCCTCCCTCTCACTTCCACCGACCAGGCGGCCCTGACGCCGGCAGATTCATCCCTTTCATCACCAGCTCATTGATGCGCTTCGTGTCGGTGCCCCGATTGTGGACACCTGGGTTGGTGCTGTGGGACTACCCGGGCTACTAAGTAGCAGCTGCTTACTTTCGGAAAGCTTACAGTACAAACACTTACAGGGAGGTAGAAACAGATTCAGCGCATTTCAGTCTGAACATGAGTCCGTGGCCCGCATTCCTAAACATGAGCCACATGTCTCTCATTATTCGCATTTGTGAGTAAAGCTGGCTAGCGTATGGTGTTGTGTAACAACCCATTGGAAACGTCAGCAACTTCAGTCGTGGCATGGTATGCTTTAATTCTGTATCGGGTCGTTCGGTGGTTCTTTGAGGGTTGCTGGATTCGATTTAAACTTACTTATATAAACCTAACTTATGTCACCAACTGAAAACAACTGAAAACTATCATGTCCCATCCTCAATGAAACCCATATGAGGACAGCTCTACCCCCCCATGCCACTGCCCTCCTGTGTGCTGAGATGCCCTGCCACGTTCTTGCAGGTATCTCGTTTGTTCAACAGTGAGGTCTAACCTGGCGGCTGGGCGAAACAGTTTGAGGTCGGTGGCGTCCTTGCTCCTAGTAGTAAGGCCAGGAGCCCCTAGTAGCGATGCCCTTTGCTCCTAGTACCTTCCTTGCTCCTAGTGTATAGTGGCGAAATTCCAAAGCAAATTCCAAAGAAACACGGAATTCGTTTCGGACCTTTTTGCTGGAATTTGGTTGACCGCCGGAGATGGAAGGCTGCTGTTGAGATGCCCGTACCAAACCGATATTTCTTCCCCCTCCTACTTTCACACCAAGCTTTAGTGCGACTGAAAGCCTGAAGACTCCATCTCGGCAGAGGTGGGCGAACTGGGACCCCCAGGCGCATAGTGGACGTACTTGCATTTCTCAATGTGCCGACCTTGGGAGAAGTCATTCGTCCTTCCTTGGGCGAAGTCGCGTGTCGACTGCCTGGTCTTTCACCGTCAAATGGGCTTCCCGGCAAGTGTCGAGGTACGAACAGTCGCCAAGCCTGAGGCAAAAAATACAGATGTTCTCCCCGACTCCTCTCCGGCAGAGCTGGTCTCGCATGTTGCTCTCGAGTTGCAGTTTCTTCTGGAACACCAGTACTGTTCATTACAAACAAGTAAAGACAAGGTCCTAAGGTGGGCATGTGTCAATGTACAATCCACAATCTTAGGCAAGTTTGAAGCATGTTGACAGCATAGTGAGCCAAACAGTCTGGGGAACTTATGCAACAACTAGAAGATTGATGCAGCATGGCTGACTGCCACGTTCTCAATTACGGTTCTCCGCCCAATCTAGTCTCTCCCCGCCCTGACGAATCTAGTCTCTCCCCAATGTGTGGCCGGGGCGCGACTCGTCAGTCCAGGGTTTGATGACCTTTCGGAAATGAATCTTGGCCTCAGTCAGCTTTCGACAGGTCACGGAAGAGTCACAAAAAGAAGGCCCTTTGACTTTGAATAGATGGATATTGATGAACCCCCTTTCTGCTGCTTCCAACCTCAAAGACCAAGACCATCAACAAACAACCAATTACACCAACGTAGACCCCAAACAGTTTGTGTTTTTCAAAATCGGAACACTCTGCCACTAGAGCTTGCGACGTCCAGAGCTGAGAGACAAAGGATTGCAAGGCAGAGGCGGCCACAGCATTCCAGAGCTGGGAGACAAATGTAGACACAGGGAGGCAAATGTAAAGGTTTGCAAGAGACATGCAGCGCAGAGCTGGGAGACAAATAATGGATTGCAAGGCAGAGGCGGATACAGCAGTCTAGAGCTGGGAGACAAATGCAAAGGACTGCGAGGACAAATGTACAGGATTGCAAGGCAGAGGCGGACACAGCAGCCAGAGCTGGGAGACAAGTCTAAGGAGACAAATGTAAAGGATTGCAGGGCAGAGCAGTCCAGAGCTGGGAGACAAATGTGAAGGGTTGCAAGCGAGAGGCAGACACAGCAGCCCAGAGCTGGGAGACAAATGTCAAGGATTGCAAGCGAGAGGCGGACACAGCAGTCCGGAGCTGGGAGACATGTAAAGGACTGCAACACAGCAGTCCAGAGCTGGGAGACACATGGAAAGGATTGCAAGGCAGAGGTTGGCACCGCGCAACAAGAAGGGAGACAAAAGGAGACAGAAGGGAGACGAGCCGGACACAGTGACCCACAAGAAGGGAGACAAGACCGGAGACAAAGGGAGACAGAAGGGAGACAAGGCGGACACAATGACCAACAAGAAGGGAGACAAGACCGGAGACAAACGGAGAAAGGAGGGAGACAAGGCGGACACAATGACCAACAAGAAGGGAGACAGGGGGAGGCGGGCACGCTGTCCCGCAGCAAGGCGGACACCCGTAGAAAGCATTGAGAAACCCCAACAGTTACCTGTTTGGGGAAGTAAAGAGATCACCTGGGAGACAAATGAATAGAAATGCTGCATGGCCAGCGGAAAAGGGCAGACACCAGCAGTGACAGAAAGGACGGACACGTCTTAAGAAAGAATTGAGAACCTCTAACAGTAAACTGTTTGGGGAAAAAAAACAATTCGATACGAACGGATATGAACCGGGTGGACTTGGGGAGGAGCTTATTCTACTTCCCGTTCCTTTGGAACTCATTCGATCCACGAATTAAATTGAAAGTTTGACATTCTGGTAGAAATACATCGATCAGAAGGGTACTATGCGATTGCTATGAAACATGCATATCACAGTATACATCAATGAATACTCCAGCAATCAATTGTGTACAAGCTTCTGCTAGCAATATCAATAGCATGAGGACCAAGACATGCATGCAGATGGCAGATGCTTGTTCCACTGAACCTCCAAGTGGCACATGCAGACATGAAGCCAGTTGCAGCACCTTGGCCAGCCGGTTTGGCATGGGAGCCATGAGAAACTTCCGTGGGGATACATATTTCGGCTAGTGATGCTGGTGGTGTTCGATCAAGCTCAAGCCCTACATATACATATCACCGAGATCAACTAGGTCAAAACTAAATGCAGTCATCGAGAGTTTTGCTGTCACAAAAACTACCGCCAGTCTAATCTGTTCACCAAGTTGCGGCAGTCTGAGCGGCTGCCATGCGGGCAGAACTGCGCCATGTTCTGAGTCCTGAGTGTGCTGGACATGGACCCTAATTACATAAGACCTCGGAACTAAGGGTGTTTTGTTGTGTAGCTGCAGCTGGAACTCCCCTTCCGCCAAATGAAGAAAGAAGCCACGCCGGCAATAGCAGCAATGCTCTTTTCACCCATTTCGATGATGAGCAAACTACTGTGCCAGCAGAGTATCTAATCTTGGTCTTTGCAGGCTGTGTGCATCCTGGTTGCTGAAGCTTTTGCTACGTAGTATGTCTCAAAAATATGGAAGCACCGCACACGAGTCCGAGGTATATTTTGATCGAATGGCATTGAAGAATGGGTGATATCTATCAGGTGGGGAGTCTGTTCGAGTCGAGTCTATTCCCCGCACAATCTTCAGAGCGTGCTCTTTGATTTGGAGCCTGAGAAACGCTTTCAATACATGTCCATTGTGCAGTTCTATTTGTTGAGCAAATTACTATTGCCTGGTTCGACTTCTCGCAGAATTTGGACCTCCAACCCCCACAGCCCATTGACGCTATGCTCACGTCGATCGCCTCCGACCCCCATGTGCCACTTGTATCCACTTGTCATGAATGTGATAGACTTTTCGATCAGCGTATCTTCGTCCCGCGTTGATCAGATTGCAAGGAGATCCCCATTCTGAACCTGATCTCAGCCAAGGGGCTTGTTCATGAACTTCTGGGCTGTCAAGCCTTGTTGAGCCATCGCCGACCCCAAGCGCCACGACAAATCAGCAAATGGTTTATCAATTTGTATCCATATGTTCAGTTCATCCAGACTTGTCCCAATCTGTGTCGGTCTCCCATGATCCCTGCACCACAAAAGCAAAATCAAAGTTTAGACCATTGTCCTGCATCGCGCACGATAGAGGAATCAAACTCCTGAAATCCCCAAAAGGAGGCACCTTGCATCCTTCGTTCCTTGCACAAAGAGTTAAGTATAAGTCCTAAGCATAAATTATATAGATAATTATAGATATACATATGTAATATGTATGGCCAGTGTCAGTTGCATCCAATCCCTCTGTGGTCTCAAAAGCTCAGCCCCTCCAGCCCCTGCAGTGTTTCGAAACATGGGTCACTACCACTCCTACAGACTATAATGGTGCAAGATCTGTAGGATCGTCCCTGTGTGGGATGTGTCTCACACAGGCTAAAGCTGTGAAGGACTGCCCCAGGGATGAGTCTAACAGCTGATTGAGAGTCTCAAACCAAAGGTCTTCTGAGCCACACTGCACTCAAATCTCCTCTAGCGCTCTGATTGATCCAACCGATCGATAGATAGCTTCCAACAGTTTTGGAATTGAATCTTTGGAAGGGTTTAAGGGATCACGGGGTGATTCAACTCACCTTTCCTACAGCATACTCCAACCTACTCCAACCACCCTCTATTATCCTCTATCCGACTCTATCCAAAGATGGAGTCGGGCTCCCGACTCTGCCGCGCGGTGGGCTCCGCCAAGAGCTGTCGGAGCTCATCCCCCGCATCGATGAGCTGGCGCCTCGGGTCCAGTCGCTTGAGCCAAATGCACCCAGGAAAGGCTTTGTGCCATTCTCAACGGACAAAGTTGAAGGGGTTACAATGGGGATCCTGAGGTTTGGGATGACATGGGGTGGATCATGTCAATCTTTGTCCTTTTAATATGAATCCCCCAAAAAGAATATATAATAGAATAATTAGACACAGACACGCCTCTGTGAAGGATTGAAACGCTCTATTCTACAGGCTACTGTTCAAGTATAATAAACACTGTGTCATAGGAAGGAAGATTATAGATGTGATGGATTGGAGGTCATCAAACTCAGCCAGATTCTCCAGGGATCTGCAGTAAGGACTGTGATCAACCTGAAGTACGTACTTGAGGATCTGGTAAAGTGGCCTTTGTTAATGTGAGATTGTCTCTCAAAAAGCGCAGGAGGGACAAAAAACACATTATGTTGATGTTGATTCATAACCTAAATTAACCTGTTATGTACGAACATGTAACAACATGCGAAGCAAGCTGGAGAGTGCGAGGGATTCTACAAAGAAAGTCTGATCGGTCTTAGTTTCAGCTGCCAGAATAGTGTGACTGACTCACTGCAAAACCTCCGCCACTGAAACATAGCTTGACCATCCCACATTCAGACTACAAGAAGAAGTTGTATATACAGTTTGTTGCAGAGGAAGAAGGCCTTGATGAATGACGGACCTGACAAACACTTAAACTTGTTTATGGGAAGAAGTAGATAACATGTCTTATTTTGTCAGGTCCTCTTCTTGAAGTTCAAAGGAACAAACACTTGTGGGACCTCCAGAAAGCAAGACATGTTCGTAATACTGGAGCCCGTCTTGCTTCAGGGATCTCGATCTCGAAAGACTACGCCATGGCTTTGTCTTTGCAAAGAAGGTCAAAGAAGTGAGAACTAGTGTTACTCAGCGGTGCTTTTAGGTTTTCCTTTTTTGAAGCCCTTGTTGAAAGCCCGGCGGGGTAGGTCTAAGCCGGTAAGCTACTAGTCAGGAGCTTCTTAGGCTTGGACGCAGAAGGGCTCAGGCTTGATGATTTGGTTCCTAGATATTTTGGGAAACTTATATATATATATATATGTAACATTATGTAACAATATACATAACTATAAACTATAACTTTCTTCCTTTCATGGTTGGTTAGGTTCACATTACAGCAACCCTTGAAACATAGGATATGGGGAGTGTACGCCAAGTGTTCCAGGCTATCCACAGGCTTTCATGAAACTAGCTTGCTTTGACCGAGAAACCAGATTGAACCGGCAGATGTCTCACCCCTTGTGGCCAACACTGTGGGCACCAAGTGACTGTCTGGCTGTAGGTGCCTGCAAGAGATCTTCTACCTGGGGACGACAAAGGCGCACATCTGCTGATGGCTTTCCCTCACTATCCTTTGCGCATGTGTCCCTCCCATTCACGAAAACCCGTGGATGATGATCATTATGTTGTAGGGACCTGAAACTCCTGGTTTGATCCCAAAAATCTGTGCTGACTGTTGGTCTGGCACACAGTCCTGGCATCGGGCTTAAGACAAACTGGCATTTGTGGAGGTGCACCCGAGAATATCAACACTGAACAAAGAAAAGAACACTGGCAGAGAGATCTTGCGACAGCTATGTTGAATTAACCTATCGGCTGAAACTGACCCAAAGCAATTCAGGACCGAGAGAGCTGGGCCAAAAAAGGTCTATAGAATCCTCTGTCAGCCAGATTTCTGCACTGCAAGAAGCTTTGCCAGAATCTTCTGGAACGCTAGGAAGCCAATGCGGGACAAGAAAATGTCCGTACAGCGCTACTAGGGGATCCTGGCATCGCTACTAGGAGCAAGGACGCTACTACGAGCAAAGGGCATCGTCCAACCGTGAAAAGACGTGAAACAAAAACCCGTCGACTTAAGGCTCTATCCACCAGGGACCCCGGCGCTCACAGACTCATGGCCATTGCCCTGCGAGTTACAAGCGGTCTCTGCAAATGGCTATCCATGGGTTGTGACCCGCGCATAAACGCTAGTATACTCCCCTCTAGAATTCTAGTGCAAAGCATGAAGGAACCTACCATACAACTAGTCAATCCGAAACATGGACCTCAAACCTTAAATGACTTGAGATCGTTCATGACTTGAGACAATCCTCTTGTGGCGTCGACTCTTCTTCTCTCAGCAGTCACCTGTGCTGATGGCATTCGGGTCAACATGGCAGAGCCCAGATGGAAGTCCTGGGGCCAATCAGCCAGCAACGGCCAAGCAATTCACTCCTTGTTCATGTCCAAAAAAGACTCCTTAGCCTAAACCATCTAATCATTATAACGTGTATCTATCCGGTGTCTGTGAAGTAAGTATCTGTAGCGTGAAGATGCTTCACGCACATCCATACCTGGCAACATTACGTGAATGTCAAATTAAATGCTGAGCAACTTCAGCTTCACCCATGGCAGACTACTCTGTTGCCAAGTCGCTACCCTGGAAGTGGTGACAAAAATAAGTATTCTCTTGAGAAATCAATCCGACCAAAGTGAGGTCAACAAAGATAAACAAAGATGAGTCAATTCCTGTGTGGTCATTTTCTCCACAGAGGAGATTCCTGTGTGGACGAAGACGGGATTCCCTCAGATCAAAGCTATGTTTTCCTGTCCACGCATCTACACTACAGTAACTTAACTAACGCGAGCAACTCGACCCTCTCAGGCACTGAGACCCTTTCTAATTCTAGATTCTAGAAGCTTAGAAAACCTCTCCACTCACCTCTCCATAAAAATCACGCCACACACGAATCCCCATATTTAGCATGTTTCTAGGCAGAACCTTGGGATTCAGCTCCAGATTTAACAAGATTTAACAAGTGTGGATCGTGGTTTGAGCTGGAAGGACCGATGGACGAGGGAGGTGGAGCACAAATGACAGAAGTCAAGGAAAGCCATGACGAAGTAGCGTCAAGGCCCTTTTTGGTCCCGTGCCTGGACCGGTGGCATTGAGCTGACCTCCAGTCGCGCGCGCTTCGCCTAAGCGGCCAAAGGCATAACCCTGTGACATCCTCTAACAGTCTGCCTTGCAGGACAGCAGGCAGTCCAAGGTGTACTTCCCTGAATCCTCCCAAGGTCCATGTTGAATCATTTTGATGTGTTTTAACGAAGATCTGGATGTCATGACCGAAGTGATGGATGCAAAATGAACTTCACAGACCCGATCTAGCTCGTTCGCAGGCCGGATCTAACTCCAGGTTCGCTGCACGACTCTCACCAGCCCCCAAGGAGTGCAAAAGGGAGGCGATCCTGCAAGTGAACTGTCGTCTGCCGGCCGGGGGCTCCAAGTTGGGAGTACACCATGGAACCCCCAAGTGAACTTTCCAATCAATGGGGAGCATACTTCCAGCAAAGATTCTGTTTATGTTCGACACACTGGTCTTGGTCGGCTTCGGTTGACCCCTCACCTCAAAGACGCAGAAAACTACAGTAATGGAAAAATATTGGGTTCGCTGGGTGAGGACTTTGTGACTGGGAGGTTGGCAGCAAAATGTATCTAAATATAGTCTTTCAGCTTGTCAGGAAGACATCCACCTCCTTATTCCATGAACATTGGAGCTGTGTCAGTCGGCTCACGGTGGTGTCCTTGCTGGTTCCGCATCCACGATCAGCAAGTCCTCCCCATCTCCATCCAGTACCTCACCCAGTTCCAAGAGTGTGCTCTGGAATCCGTTTTGGGACGATTCACAAAACAGCTACCATCACTTGGAATTTATCCTCCCTCCAACAACAAAATCTCCAGAAAGCAGGATAATGCTTTCGTGATGGTTCATTTCTGATATCCTTGCTTTGTGTTGATGTCCTTCTTCTGTCGGTTATATTTGCTAGGTAGGGAAATCCTTCAAAACATCAGCTTCATGCTAAACATTTTCCCAATCACAGTCACTGGACCGTAAAAGTCATTAAAAGCCCAGTGTGTCAAACATCAGGTTAGCATGCATTGCTTGTTGAATCAGGAGGTCTCAAAAGGGCTGGAGACTGTTGCATGACCCTGAATCACGTGGAAGTTGCTGAGAATCCCTGCAAGTGCACCAGGGTCATTCAGATCCTTCCGCTTGTGGCCACCACTGAGTGCAACTCCGACAGTGTTTGTCCCACAGCGTTGCAGTGCTGGTTCAAGCAGCTCGGAGGCGAGGAAGACTGGTGAAATCGTTCAATTTGTGAAGCCGACACACCCACATCATTCTAAAGACTCACCAATGGCAAATTGAAGTTCAATTGGCCAGTAAATCCTCATTGAGGATGGATGCGTTGGTTGGAGTCTTGTATTGCAATCTCTGCTCAGATTGATATCTCTGTCGTGAACCGAGCTAAGCAAGGTACACCAGGCCAAAGCCGACAACTCCCCTACTGAGCTCCCTCTTTGAGGCAATTAGGTATGAGAAATCACAGCCCCCTTCCCATGAAACGGCTAATATATATATATATATATATACATACTGAAAGGGGAATATCAAGAAATCACTGAAGCCCTTCCAACATCCTGCAATTGAATCTATATTGTATAATGTGATGAGCGGTGGTGTTGACACATGTGAGTCTCTATTGGGTGTCCAAACCTACCAGCATATCGTTCCTTCACCATGTCTGTGTGTATCCACTGTCCATCAAACCGTCGATCGTCCTGCAGGCTCTGGCGAATCACCAACAAAGCAGCAACCGTGTCCTCAGCAGAGCAGGGGATGTCACCGATCACACGGACAACAAGGTAATCCTGGTGGCACGAAATGGTTTTTCATAACCGGGAAGGGATTTCCCATTGGTTTCATCGAGTCTTCAATCAACACCGTTTTGAAAGTCTTCTTGCTACGAAAGACACCATATTGCTCCCAGTACATGACAATGAGGCTGCGCTATGATGGATGGGCCGGTAATGTGTAGATAAGAGTCAAGGTTCCCTAAAGATCCAGGAACCAAATGAATAGTGCGAGTGCTTCTTCAAGGAAGCTCCCCCCGGCCCTCAGGCGGGGGGAGCTTCCTTAAACGGGGGGAGCTTCCTTTTTGCTCTCTTGCCGTCACTGAAGTCTCGGCGACCAACAGGCTTCCGCCGTGGAGGTCAGTAGCTCTTATGGCTCGACAGATTCACAGGAGCGAAT